GTGAGTAGCCTTGTGGTTTTGTTGGAGATGTTACTGTTTTAAAATCATTATTGATATGATTATGTTTTAATGCTGTTATTATTTATTATTTATTATTATTATTATTATTATTATGTTTTGATGCTGCTATTATTTATTATTATTATTTATTATCATTATTATTATTATTATTATTATTATTATTATTTTTATTATTATCATTACTATTATTATTATTGTACTTGTTATTATTGTTGTTATTTTTTCTTTAATCTTCTGCTTTGTTATTATTGAGAGTTTACTATTTATTTAATTTATTTATTTATTTGTCTTTATTTATTCGTATTTAAACATCTTTTCCCAATGATTATGCTGTCCCACCCTTCCCTCTTTTTTTGCGTTTGTGTGTCTTTATTTCTTTGATTTTGTGATTTATTTTATTTCATCATTTGTTTGCCTATTTCTTTCGTTCAACAGTATCCATATACCGTATATTCTTTCCAGTACACCATGTCTTCCTAACTGTGGCATGATCTAAAGTCTTACTCTACTGCATTTTTTTTTTTTTTTTCGTGTAGCCTGCAGTCTCGCTAATGTACACATGGCGTGACTTGTCCAGCTATCATGATGGAATGCACGAAAAGTGTGTACATTCCTCGGGCAAACGTCAGTCATTATTTTAGAACACTGAGTCATTTATTCTGTGGTTAAATAGATAATATGAGCTTGGGTACACTTCTTAGCCTTAAAAGAAACTTGTATATGATACTTAGTTTAAATGTAGGTAGTTTGTTTATTTCAAGTTTAGTACAGGGATTAATGGAATGATCATGTCCTTTATATAAGGATGAAAAAAATGATATATATAACAAAGTCTCTCTTTTAGAATGATATGTATTCCTTATAATGGTTAATTCTGTGGACTATTACCATGAAAATGCTTCATTGTGTAACTGTAATAAAAATACTTTTTTATCAGGGATTAGAAAAAAAATCGATGTAGATTCTGGGGAATTACACATACAACACATATTTTTTAAATCACAATGTTTCCTGATTTGTCAACGTGGAAGCATTGTAATAAAGTCACAAAAATCTACGGATTTCAACCCAACATTGACATACTGTTGCCGTGTGCTGCGTCAAGTTAAATGGTAGCCGCGATTTTAGCTATATTTTTATTTCCCTTTTTTAACTCTATATTTTTTCTGTTGGCATAATATAACAAATGGAGGATGATATTTGACGTTTTTGATCGTGCGATTGTTACGTTTTAATGTGTTTTGTGCGTTGTTTATCCGCAAATGCGGTATTATGAAAAATGATGTAGTGATGTTATGCTTTTATATTTTATAGCGACCTTTCATTGAGGTTTAGTTTCAAAATTACTATTTTTTTCACGTTGTGATATTTGCGATTTTTTAAGCCGTGATATCAGCTTAATACGCTAGAATTCCACCTGATAGTGCTACAGTGACATAGTAGCATACGGCTACAGAATCACTCCCCTCATACAGCGGTATTTCAGTATACTCCTACAGTAAGGTTCGCCATCTTGTTATATTTTACCATAGTGCTATTATCTTGTTTCGTCACTCTGTTACAGTATTCTTTCATTCCACTTTCATAACGGTATCTCATCATACTAGAAGGAGTATAGTGCTATAGAAATATGAATAAGTTATTTTTATTGACAGATACATGATGAAATATTCTTTTCGATTAACTTAGGAGGATCTAGGTGACTTATTGAACTTACGAGGATAGAGATGACTATATTAACTTAATAGGATCTAGGTGATTCATTTAATTTAAGATGATATAGGTATGGAACCATTGTTACTTGGAAGGAATAATTTCGTGAAACCATTACCATTTGTAAGAAAATTATCTTAAGGAACCATTATTATTTGAAAAGAATTCATTCATGGAACCAATTATTATTAGAAAGGAATTATTTCATGGAACGATTATCATATGAAAGGAAATATTTAACCGTTATCATCTGTAAATAATATTTTAATGGAACTATTATCATATAAAAAAAAATAAAAAATCATGGAGCTATTATATGAAGATGAAAATCATAGAACCATTATCATTTGAAAGGAATTATCAAATAGAACCAATATTATACGAGATAAAAAAAAAACTATAGAACCATTTGAAAATAATTCACTCACGGAACCAACAACTTTTTGAAAAGAATTAATTCACGGAACCATTATTATTATATTTTGTGGGGCATACGAGGGGGATGGAATGATAGAATGGTTGCATTGCAATTGGTTGATTGGGTTATTGATTAGAGGAGGAAGAACTGGCCGATTAATAGGGTGGTTGTGGTTGCATTGACGTTGCGAATCGATTTCACTAATATTGATATGGTGGCGGTCCGTGTCAACCATGCATGTCCTGTGCTGTTGCAGAGTATTAGATTGATTTGTTTAAGTTTATGTGGTGTTTGTTTATCTGTTTATTTTATTTTATTTTTTTGTTTTATTCTATCTTATTTGATTTG